TGCTCTTGCTGATGACACTGTGCTCTTGGGAGATTCTGAAGAGAAGTGCAGAGATTGGTGGATGAATTTGGTGGGTGTGCAAAAGAAGAAATTAAAGGTGGGAAAACAGGAAAGAGTAAGGTTATGAGGATAACAAAAAGATTAGGTGATGAAAGATTGAATATCAGATTGGAGGGAGGAGTATGGGGGAGGTGAAACGTATTCAGTTTTTTGGGGGTGGAGTGTCAGCGGATGGGTCTATGAAAGATGAGGTGAATTTATAGAATTGATGAGGGAAAAAAAAGTGAGTGGTGCACTTTGGAGTCTGTGGAGACAAAGAACTTTGTCCTTGGAGGCAAAAGAGGGGGAAAGTATGAGAGTATAGTTTTACCAACGCTCTTATATGGGTGTGAAGCATGGGTGATGAATGTTGCAGCGAGGAAAAGGCTGGAGGCATGGAGATGTCATGTCTGAGGGCAATGTGTGGTGTGAATATAATGCAGAGAATTCGTAGTTGGAAGTTAGGAGGAGGTGCGGGGGTTACCAAAACTGTTGTCCGAGGGCTGAGGAAGGGTTGTTGAGGTGGTTCGGACATGTAGAGAGAATGGAGCGAAAAAGAATAACTTCAAGAGTGTATCAGTCTGTAGTGGAAGGAAGGCGGGGGTAGGGGTCGGCCTAGGAAGGGTTGGAGGGAGGGGGTAAAAGGAGGGTTTTTTGTGCGAGGGGTTGGACTTCCAGCAGGGGATGCGTGAGCGTGTTTGATAGGAGTGAATGGAGACAAAGGTTTTTAATACTTTACGTGCTGTTGGAGTGTGAGCAAAGTAACATTTATGAAGGGATTCAGGGAAACGGCAGGCCGGACTTGAGTCCCGGGATGGGGAAGTACAGTGCCTGCACTCTGAAGGAGGGGTGTTAATGTTGCAGTTTAAAAACTGTAGTGTAAAGCCCTTCTGGCAAGGGCAGTGATGGAGTGAATGATGGTGAAAGTTTTTCTTTTTCGGGCCCCCTGCCTTGGTGGAATCGGCCAGTGTGATAAAAAAAAAAAACCTAGGAAACAAATAAACGATGCCCGGGAAAACAACTGACGAACCCAGAAACAAATGACGTTACCCATAAACAGCAAATGATATCATAAACACTAACGATACTCAAATAAGCGGGCTCAAATTTTAATTTCCGTTACGAGCCTGACGATCCCCAGCGACACCTGACGATACCCAGCTTCACCTAACGGTATCGAACGGCCCCTGACGATATGCAACTACCCCTGACGATACCCAGTGGCCCCTGACGACATCCAGCTGCATCTGACGATACCCAGCGGCCTCTGACGGTACCCAGCGGTACCTGACAATACCCAGTGGCCCCTGACGATTACCAGAACCACCTACGATACTAGTGGACACGCCTTTCCGACAAAGAGAAGGAGTAACAGGCAAGGGGAAACGTATGTATCGATAAGCAACGATAACTTTTAGTTGAGAGTAACGAAGGTGGGAAGAACAGTGGCGAATAACGTGAGAAACGTGAAGGAAAGAGAAACTGGTGAGAAATATAAAGTGCACCACTGGGGAGATTAATAAAGTGTATCTCTGGGGAGATAAAGTGCACCACTCGGGAGATAAATAAAGTGCACCATTAAAGAGCAACAAAGTACACCATCGGGGAAAAAGATAAAGTGTACCACTGGGGTGAAGGATAAATAACGTGCATCACTGGGGATAAAGATAAATAAAGTGCACCACTGGGGATCAAGATAAATAAAGTGTACCACTGGGAATAAAGATAAAGTGCCTCTGGGATAAAGATAAATAAAGTGTACCACTGGGAATAAAGATAAAGTGCCTCTGGGATAAAGATAAATAAAGTGTACCACTGGGAATAAAGATAAAGTGCCTCTGGGATAAAGATAAATAAAGTGTACCACTGGGAATAAAGATAAAGTACCTCTGGGATAAAGATAAATAAAGTGTACCACTGGGAATAAAGTGCACCACTGGAAAAAATGAAGAACAGAAAAATAGTGAAGAACGATAAATAAAGGCTACCACTGGGAAGAAAGAAGAATAGAGGCTACCACTGGGGAGAAAGAAGAATTAAGATTACTACTGGGGGGAAAGAACAATAATTACTACCACTGGGGAGAAAGACGAATAAAGACTACCACTGGGGAGAAAGACGAATAAAGACTACCACTGGGGAGAAAGACGAATAAAGACAACCACCGGGGAGAAACAAGAATAAAGAAAAGTATTGGAATGAAAGAGTAATAAAGAGAATCATCGAAGAAAAAGAAAGAAAATAAAGACCAGCGAAAAGAAAAAGAAATAAACATTATAATTAAAGAAGAAATTAAAATTGAATACATAAACAGTAATAAAGAAAAAAAGAAACAACAGTAAGAAAACGGGTACCGAGTTATGACAACGGTATACAAACGGGAATTCGGGATGACAACAGAAGCTCTTCATAAATTCAGTGATTTTTATTGAATTCTTAAGAAACCGCCAAACCCGTAGGAGTCACACAACCCTTAAGGAATTAACGGTAATCGGGCTTGATCCAAGGAAGAAGAGGACAGCTTCAGTTCCTTGGACCGAGAACCCTTCACACGGCATAAGTTGCCGATAAGTATGATAGACTTCATAAAACTCACTTTGTTAAAAATGAGGCACAATTTACAGTACTTTAGACGACGTTTCGCTCACACAGTGGGTTTTATGGCGTTTGTAACTTGATAAAAAAACCCACAGCGTTGGCGAAACGTCGTCAGGTTAAATGTATTTGTGTTGACACGATTGCAAACAAACCATACCACGGGTGGGGATAGAACCCGCGATCAGTCTCAAAACTCCAGACCGTCGCGTTACCCACTGGATGAATCTTATTGCGGCTAGCTGGCCCACTGGCTAACGCGACGGTCTGGAGTTTTAAGACTCTCTGATCGCGGGTTCTATCCCCGCCCGTGGTATGGTTTGCATTTGAGTTTCTTTGACCTTTGTGTCGGTATATCATAACACTGTTTTTATAAAACGTTTTATTAGGACAGTGTTTCGATCTGTTCAGTATTTAAACAGAGCGAAATGTGGTCTCAGTAAAAGTTTATTTTGCAATGTGTGCCTTTTATTTTACTTTTGTCTGAGATTACCAGGAAACAGACCTCTTGCTGTCATCCAGAGGGATTACCAGCAGACAGGCCTCTTGCTGTCATCAGAGGGATTACCAGCAGGCAGGCCTCTTGCTGTCATCCAGAGGGATTACCAGCAGATAGGCCTCTTGCTGTCATCCAGAGGGATTACCAGCAGACAGGCCTCTTGCTGTCATCCAGAGGGATTACCAGCAGACAGGCCTCTTGCTGTCATCCAGAGGAATTACCAGCAGATAGACCTCTTGCTGATTCCTGATCAGCAGGGCTGTGGCTCATACGTTGACTACATGCAGCCAGCAGTAACACCCTGGTTGATCAGACCTTGATACACCAGAAGGCCTGGTCTGGGACCATAGTGCGGGGCGTTGACCCCGGAAAACATCCTTTAGGTATCCATCAAGTATTCAGTACTCTGTTTACTTCCACCCTGCGGCAGAAAGACGCTGCATAGAGCAAAAGTATACAGATAACGTTTCGCTTTATAACTGAGTGTTAAGAGCGAAACGTAGTCTATAAAGGTTTCCTCTGCACATAGTGTATATCTACCAAACCAGAAATAAGCCATGGCGATCGCGATGATTAATGCAATAAGCCATAACAAGTGCAGCAGCAGTTCACTACGCAATAAGCTTTAAAAAGGATAGAAGCAGGCATATACGCAGTGAGCTTAACCAGCTATATCAGCGGACATGTCAAAATCTATAATAAACATCAAATCCAATGTGTAATAAGTCTCAAAATTATGTAACATGGGTATATGCAATAAGCTCTACGAACTACAGCAACGGGTGCAACAATGCATAGGTTCTGCCAGCTATGAAAGTAATACACGTTAAGTGCTACTATCAAGAGAAGGTTTAGGGGGAAGGGAGGGGGTTGCATGAGTAGTGAGCGCTAACATCAACACCAAGGGAAGGGGTCAAGGGGACTGTATAGCATTCGTAGTGCTACCAACTGTACACAACACTGTCAGCACTGTACAGTGCTGTACACAACAATGGCAGAAATGTAACATACTGTATACAACTCTGGGAGCAGTATACATTGTTGTACACAAGACTGGCAGCAATGTACAGGACTGTACACCTCTGACAGTACTGTAGGGTTGAATACCTAGCAAGCTCTGCCTTCTACAGCATCATAATTTAGCAATGTGCACTAAACTCAGCATTCGTTAAAAGACAAGAAGGAACCAATACACTATAAAGTTAATACCTACAGAAGGACAATAAAGTTTCAATCTATAGTTACTGTAGGAACAATACTCAACTAAGCTCTTCCATCTACAGATGAGGAACAATACTCACTAAGAGAGATAATATTCACTAAGTTCTTCTATCTACAGTAAGAAGGATAATACTAAGCTCTCTTAGGTACAGTAAAAGGAGGGACAATGCTAAGTTCTCTTATCTACAGTGAGATGAGGGATAATACCCATTAAGTTCTTCTATCTATAGGTTATACTCATTAAGCTCTCCTATCTACTACAAGAGAAGGGATAATACTCAATAAGCCTTTCAAGAGGAGAGAGAATTCTTACTAAGCTCTCCCGTCTACAGTAAGGGACAATGCTCACTAAGCTCTACTAAATACAGCAAGACTATAGAAAATACACTAAAAGCTCATTAATCTACAGCAAGAGGATACAATATCCAGAAATATATATTATCTGCAAAAAAGAGGGGAGGGGGGAACCAATATATGATACAGTAAACTGTATCATATACAATAAACTGTATCATGAGTGACAAGAGGTAGGGATGGTGTAGGGGAAGGGGGGGGTGTTGGGAGAAGAGAAAGGGGTGCATTACGAAGCTCTACAGTCTACAGAAAAACGGGGAATTGGGGGCAATACGCAAAATGCTCTACCAACCGTTGTGACTGGAAAATACGCAATGCCAACAGCTCGGGACTGCGAAAAAAGCCAAAAGGAAACGCAAATAAAAAATTTAAATATAAAACACATGAAGGAATGTAGAAGATGGGGAGGGGGAGACGGTGGGAAGAAAAGGGAGAGGGAATAAAATAGGAATAGACATAGGACAAAATTAAAAACACATGAAGGAATGTATATAATGGTAAGGTTAGAACAATGAGAAGGGATAAAGTGGCAGAAGAAGGAAAGAGATAAGAGGGAAAATGTAGGAAAAAAATGAAAAATGCATGAAATAATACACAGTAGATGATGGGGAAGGAAAGGCAATGGAAAGATAAGGAGAAGAAAGGGTAAAAGAAGAAGAAAAGGGAGAAGAGGAGCAGATGTAAGAAATTAAGGAAAAAATGAAAGAAGGAATGTAGTTGATGGGGAGGGAAGGGAAGGAAATTGGGAAAATAAGAGGGAAAGAGGGGTAGAAGAAGAAAAAGGAGAAGAGGGAGAGATGTAGGGGAAAAAGTAGAGAGGAAGTGTATGAATGGAAAGAAGAAAAGGGAGAAAGGGCAGAGGACGAAGGGTGGAGAAAAATAATATGAACAAGGCTTAACACTGACATTCTAATATATTATATCAAGACTCTACACAACTGTAATATTTGTACTAAAACAAACTAAAATGCTATATTTTTTAAATATTTTAGAAAGGACAAGGTCAAGATCTACTATAATACATACAAAAAGATCTAAAATTTAACTTCTGTGCACCAGTATATAGTAAACAGTGACTCTCGCATTAAATAAATTGTCTGCAAATACGCTAAAATTTCCTCAGAGGAGCAAATTTATTTTGATTTATGTACTTTTGAGAAAATAAGGAGCTAAAGGGAAGTGTTTAATATATCTAGTAAAGGAAATATAATGATTTATCACAGGGGAAGCGATAGACCCATTGGGTTCATACAGCGCGTGAGGAATGGAAGAGGGAAGGGTATTAAGATTGATCCAAGGAAAGAGAGGGTAGCTCCAGTTCTTTGAATCAAGATCCCTTTATCAACCTAACGTCATCCACAGCCCTTTTTGATCCCCATCCTCTTTGAAGGGATGAACAAAATGAGTTCATGAGAAGAATAAACTCATAATACCATGGCTGGAACAATACCCCAAAAACTACCATTTAGAAAGAAACCTTTTGGCGATATTTAAGTCCGTCCTGAACAATTTCCAAGTTACGATTGTTGCAACATTTATGTTCAGGAGGACCGAAACGTCGTCACAAGATTCCTCTGCTAAGTGCGGGTTTCTCATGAGTACTTGAGACAACGTCAGGTAACACTGTAGGAACAATATACAGAGGTACTCCCACACCAAATTAAGAAGAACATTGTAACTTTTTTTTTTAATGTCACGAAATTTCATTCACTCGTTAATATGCTTTCGAAGAATGTATATGTTCGGTGCAGGATTTGATGAGTAATCTTCACCCCCGTCCCTCTTCCCACTTGACACAAGGACCAACACACACATTATACACCCATGACATCACACACGACACACACAGACACAACACAACATCAACAACGCACCCAACAACAGCAACAACAACTCACTAGATCCTCAGAGTAACATTCACAACCTCACAAACCAACCACTAACGCAACAGCGCCTAGTCATCAGTATAATATGGGTAACCGTCATGAATGAATCACTAGCGTATCATCACCAACATCCATCAGCGTAACGTGCGTAACCCCCATTAACAAGCCACAAACGCATCAAGTCATCAGCGTAACATGCGTAACCTGCAACTAATGAACAGGTTGCATATTAATACCAATAGTGGCCAAACCATTAACATTAGCAATTATCACTGCATTATATTCAATCGACTACTATATTATTATTATTATTATTATTATTATTATTATTATTATTATTATTATTATTATTATTACATTCATGGGGAAGCGTAAAACCAGTAACGGTCAAGCAGGTGCTAGGGGAATGGGAGGCTGTCATGTTAGGTTTGTTGGATCCTGAGACCAGCATCTCAGAACCTCTCTGATATGCACTAAATCCGAAGGTGTCATACAGCCTCTAGGTAATTTGAGGTAATTAGATCACGAGCCACTTGACCATAACCAAGGCACTCTTTTGAATGGAGCCATCATTGTATATGGGTAATCCTCCCACCTTGCGAAAAACAGTGTAACAAGCATGACTTGTATCACAGAACAAGAATTTGTTGTATGAAAACAGAAGCTTTTGTTTGCCGGCATATTTCTGCCACCCCAGGTACTTTATCCACTTATCTCTAATAGCTCTTGTTAGTATTTTTAAATAACTCTTACCTATTGTTCATAGGATCCTCTGTGGCATTTTCTTAAATTTCAGCCCAATGTGTGGCAGTGTGTGAGGCACTCGTGTTCAGTTACCTAATTTGTTGCCCCTGTTTACCTAGTGGTAAATATGTACACCTACGCTGGCAGATAAATGTGGGTTGAATCTCCGGGTGGTAGTATACCTTAGTTTTTGGCTTTGATATGAACTAAGGTGGAATAACAGCTCTTAGCCTGTAAATTCAACGTTGTAAAGAAATTTCACCAAGGAACTACTAAAGCACCAACAACACCCATCTGCAAAAAAATGAAACTCTAACCATACCACGGACGGGGTTAGAACCCACGATCAGAGTCTCAAAACTCCAGACTGTCGCGTTAGCCACTGGGCCCAGCTAGCCACAATAAGATTCATCCAGCTAGGTATATTTATACACCATAGGAAGGTTAGCATAGGCACCAATGGTCACAAATACAAGTTTTTACAGACGAGTCTCCAGCTAGCGTGGCAGTGACGGACTCTAGCTGGCCCCGTGACTAACGCGAAGGTCTGGAGTTTTGAGACTCTCTGATCGCGGGTTCTAACCCCGCCCGTAGTACGGTTTGTTTGCAATCGTGTCATTACGATTTCGTGAGAAATGAAAATCTCTCAGGAACCAAACTTCTAATTATTATTTTATTCAGTAGGAGAAGAGAGCAGCAACCATTCCTTTAAGAGCCACATTGTGCGACTTAGAACCCCAATATGGCTCGCAAGTGTTTATAACACTAATGACGATCTAATGTGCGTGTTTGCTCACTTCTCAACGTTAAAGATTCATCGTTCACTTGGAACGGGATCGGTAAAAAAAAAAAGTCCAGCGTATTACTATGCTAATTGTTTATGTAGAGCATAGCACTCATTAATACGCTCCTGGCTCTGTCGTCAACCCCCCCCTTCTCCCTAAACCCTCTTCTTACTACCCCGTCTTCTCCCCACCCTCATCTCCCTACTCCCTTCTTACTCCCTTATCCTTACCCTAACTCCAGATACCCCTTCTCCCCTACCCCAACCCCCGTGTCCCAACCCCAACTCCCGACCACCCTTACCCCGTCTGATTGCATTAAGACGTATCACGCGGGTCAAGACGTTAGCCTTGGTTTCCGCTCGTCCTTGTTAGGCGTTGAAACTAGTCTTCCACGTTCTTCTCGTTACTAAGGTGGATGAACTCTATAGTCATTCGCACGCGCCCTCGTGTGTGCATGTGAAGCAAGGAGTGAAGAACAAGAGGGGAGAGTAAAAATGGCAGTGATTTCGTATCTGAAATCCATGTGGGGTGTGAATATTATAGAGAGAACAAGACTTAAGAAATTAGACGATGCTGCTCATAGCACGAAAGGTATGATATGCTGAGCGGGAAGGGTGTTGTTGAAATGGCTTGGCCATTTAGAAAAGATGTATAAAGATAGGTTGATAAAGAGGGTGAATAAATCTGTGGTCGATGTAGGGGACAGCTAGGGAAGAGATGAGAATAAAAAATCACAACACCGTGGTTGGAATAGTTCACTAAAAACCCATACATAGGAGAAGAACCTTATGACGGCATTTCGGTACTCAATGGATGTGACAAGTGTCAAGGACAGACCGAAATGTCGTTAAAAGGTTCTTAAGCGAGGAATTTTGGCGAAAGGAGGGATTGGAAGAAGGGTACGAAGTAGAACTTGAAGCATATATGAATATGATCGATGTACGTAAAGGCAAGCAACTCTTGGAATTTAGGTCATTAAAAAAACCTATTACTCGGACTTAACATTTAGAGATGGTAAGTACAGTGAAAGTTAAGTGGAGATGTTGCCATTCTATTTTGGTGCCTATGTGCTTCTGAAAAATAGCTTAAGAATGATAGTAAATATTTTTCTTCTCTTAGGTCATCCTACTTCTGTGGAAAATGGCCAATGTTGAAAAAAAAAATCTGCTGCGAGACCAGTCTTATTGCAAACCTTGAACTTTCATTCGTTTCAAGCTAGATCAGGTGTAAGTACCAGGCAAGAGGCTGCTTATTTGTCAGGTAAGAGGGCAAGTGTCTTCTGAAACAGGTCCTTGTCAAATGATGACCCGTAACTGGTTCAGCATTCGCTGGCCTATTGGACTAATGCTTTGTGACTATGCATTTGAAAATACACTATGTTTAAGTGTTATCTATCATGTATGTTTGTTTTTTAATTTCCAGTCATTATAGTACTTCCATTCCAGTTCGTTATTCTAAAACTCTGTGTATTTTCTGATAGCTTTTCTGCATTTTTTCCTCAGTTTAAACTTTAGCCTCATATTCCTCCTGTCCATGCATCAAAGAATTTGTTCTCTTTAGAATTATTTATATCCTTATATTATTGTGCCCACGAACGAGTGGTATTGATCAATAACAACACTGCGACTAGCCAAGGACTCGAATCCATGCTGCTTTGGCCTGCCTCATGGTGGGCGAAAACTCATGACGCCCTAATCCTCTGGACCATACAATCCTAGTATGGATTGTATGGTCCAGTGGATTAGGGCGTCATGAGTTTTCGCACACCATGAGGCAGGTTAAAGCAGTATGGGTTCGAGTCCTTGGCTAGTCGCAGTGTTGTTATTATATCCTTATATGTAGCTATGTCGCATCTTTATGTAGTGTCAGACAACAAAAACATTTTTAGTGATATCAGCCACTCATCCTAACTCAAG